GGGGACCGAGCCTGTAACCAGGGCATGTGCCCTGACTGGGAATCAAACGATGACCTCTTGGTTCATACGTCAATGCTCAACCACTGAGCTATGCTGGCTGGGCATATTTGCCAATACTTTTAAGAGTATTAGCAAGAGTGTGACTTGCAACTAGGTTAGTAATAGAAAATACAATTTTACCAGTAAGGAAGTTAATTGTCAATGCTTTTTGGTCTCTTCTCCACTCCTAGAGACAAACCTATTTGATTTTGTGCCAGAAAAACATTTTTTTGGTACTTTTTCTGAAGGAAAAAACTCAAAGGTTTACTTTTTTAAAAACAATGCAAAAGTCTTGATAGCTTCCTGCCCCTATTTTGTGGTTGCATAACATCTTGCCCCATGGACAAGGGCAAGGATGGCCTGATATCCAATTAAATCTATGTTTTAGACATCCAGCTTTGTATTTTCTGATCACACTTTTCCTCTTTGGCTGCTGGTGGGGAATCTTTACACTTACTACTTTGCCTCCATGTACTCGGTACATATGCTCACATTCAATATTCACTCTGGAGTACTGTCCCGGATTTATAGTTTCAACATTACAGTGAGTTGGAATATTTTGGTATTTTGCGGGGCCTTTGACCCCTTTTGTAAAGTGTTGATATAATACAATGCAACAGAATAACAAATAAAATATGCAATTTTAACAGATGTAACTGGTAACCAGCAAAAAATGTAAAAGTGCTTTGACCCAGATGCACTGTGACCTGCTAGCTCAATGTGGGTTGGGATGGGAGAGAACATAAGAATCCATGTGGCATGCATCTGTCCACTAAGGACAAGAGCATACTGGTAGTCAGTGCATGATGGACGCGCTGTCAAAATTACAGATCAATTGCATACTTGAGAAATGTATGTGCTCCAAAACGTATCATTATTTTTCTTCTGAGAGTAGCAAACCGCTGCAGACAAGCGGATAGGCTGCTGGGGATCGAAGCTAACTCGCAGCTCACACATAGAAGAGCACCTGTAAGTTCTTCTGTTCAGTATCCTGAGCATTTCTGGGCCTAATGAGCACCACCCTTCCCCTTTCTTTAGTGAGATCTACTTACTTCTGGATGATGCCGTCGCCACAGTACCCACTTCCATGGGTGTATACAGCAGCAGGCGATGGCTCGCCTTCCTCACCTCCGGAAATGGTGATGACCCAGTACTGGTACACACTGCCAAGACTGAGGTCCCTGGAAAATGCACAGACGACGATGAGCTATACAGACACAGTGTGGGGAGGGGGACAGATAACACTGACCCCCCGTGCGTACATTCTAATTCTTGCTTATATTTGAAATACATGCACATTCCGTTATTCAGTATTTTTTATTGTCTGCTGTGGTGAAGGCATTCTTCCACTCATGATGGGTTACACTAAAATGCACAGCAACAACAATGAGCACCAGTGGACAGATGCCCATGAATATTACTAGATATTTTTTGTTGTTGAGCTAACCTTTACAATAACCCTGGTGGGTAAGAATCAGAGGATGTGTATAATGAACATGTGGGAAACTGCCATCCAGGAAAAGTCAATGGGATAAGCAAAGGCCTACAGAGGCGGGAAAAGACAATGCCAGAGGTGGGCATTGTCTGATCCTTCTGCACTATTTTGAGATATGAGCAGAAACCCATTACAGGCACGTCAGTCCTTTCCTTATAATTCTCTCCCTCCTGCCTCCCTATGTCGCTCACTCCTGACCAAAATAATAACGATAATCACAGCATCCATTAATGGAATGTGAGGCCTGGGGCTAAGCGCTTTCCACATATTTTCTCATTTGAGAATCAAAACCACCTTGTATGTGCTGTAGTATTTTCATCTTCATTTTACATATAAATGATGAATCTGAGGCAGAGAGAGGTTAGGCATCCCACTTACAAGCACATGTCATTACATGACATCTGTGTTCTGCTTCTGCAATCCCTAGCTCAGGCCTGTTTGAATAATCTCATCCCTTGCAAGGAGGGATCCCAACTAGGCACTGGCATTCCAAGCACTGGTTCCTGCCAGCTTTCCAACTGCCCTCCATTGCATCTCTCCTCTGTTCTCAATGCCTCCTAGTTCAAGGCCTATTTTGACGTCCTCATACTCACCCTCACACCAGATCACCTCCCTCCCTTAGTTAGCCCTTGAGACTTCTGCTTGAATTCATCCTGCCATCAAAAGATCCTGGCGACTGTCAGGTATCCTCTGAGGCACAGACATATTGACATCAATTCCACATGAACAAATCCCCATCCCCATCTCCTCCTCCACCACTGTCAAAGGAAGATGTTATTCCTTTCTTTCATTTCCCTCAGCATCAATTATTTACTTATTAAAAATAATGTGCCATGGGGGGAAACCAACACACAAAATGATAATAAAGAGAATGCCTATCAGATTCCAGAGTTGGGGGGGATTTCATAAACAAGAAGGCCATGTTAAAAAATCTCAAGTTCTCCTGCCCATCTGTTGTTTCAGCTGTTGTTAGGGTTGGAGCTGCTTGGATAAGGCCAGTGAGATAACAGGTGTAGGGGAAATGGATGGACAATGTCTCCTGACTCACAACACAACAACGATGAGCTGGAGTGTATGAGCATCAAAACCTGTGGTGAGGAACATAGTCTTCCTAAGAATGTTGAGCTTATCACCTGAAAGAGAACTTGTGCTAGCAGTGCTGGAGCAGACAGTAATATTGTGGGTAGACCAGAAGTCCCTGAGGATTCCATTAGTATTCTGTCAATGAAGACTAAGCAGGTGCAATGCATAATAGGCTCTATCCACAGAGCCAAACCTGCTGGTAGTGGTTCTCACCTTTGGGTCACGACCCCTTTGGCGGTCGAACGACCCTTTCACAGGTGTCACCTAAGCCCATCCTGCATATCAGATATTTACATTACGATTCATAACAGTAGCAACATTACAGTTATGATGTAGTAACAAAAATAATTTTATGTTTGGGTCACAACATGAGGAACTGTATTTAAAGGGCCAGAGGTTGAGAACCACTGCTCTAAAATATGGAGGCCCGTTTTATATTAAGCAAATATAACCATGTTACGGTATACATTTTCTTTGTGCTACATCTCAGGCCACTGGGGGCACATGGTCACTCTCTGAAGCAAATGGGACCCTTCTGTGAAAATGGGACATGTGAGTGTGAAAAGCACTTCTCGACACTGTGTTTTGCATTTGGAGGTGGGTGTCACAGATGATTCATGGCTGATAATATTTAAGACACTGCAATAACATTTGTTAATGTCTTCCTCCTCCCCTCTTCCTCCTCCTTCTCAATAAATACGACTCTCAGGCAGGCGAATGTGTGTCCATCCTCACTTCATCATCTACTCCTGTGTCACAGGCAGGAGTTTCACTGCTCCGAGCCTACTTCACATTAGTCATAGTGTTTTCTTACGGACTGACTATGAGAACACATATAAAGCACATATGTGCTCTGCCTATGATAAAGTTAACATATGTTAACCCATGACTGTTAATTAACCACATTCTCATTCACTGGAGTTCTGCTGTATTTTCTTTACTAGATGGGATGGATGGAAAGGTACCTACCTACCTATAACCTTGGTTATTAGGTAAACCCATGAAGATGGGGCTATCATCTATCACGTTTCATAGTTTGATGGACAGTCTGTCATGTCATTTGGCTAGAACACCCTCAGTGCCTGCCTGCAGCTAGCTTTCTCTTCAGGTGGTGATTTCAACATCTGAAAATTCTGGATCCCAGGTTTGTCAAATTTTTCCCTGGGCCAAAATCTGTCTCCCAGTAACTTCCATCCACTGTCCTCCTCCTTACCCACTAGCATTACATGGCACACGTGGCTGGTAGAGAAACCTGAATAACCCTCCTTCTTCCAACAGCGCACACATGGCTCATGTTTCACTATCTCACAGAAGCCTGGAGTTGTTTTCAGAGAGGAACACAGAAGCCTAGGCCACTCCCTTCATAAAAAGGTAGGGAGGGGGTATCAGGGTACAACTTATTGAAGAGATTATGTTCTCCCACTGAAGAAGTCTTGTGAGAAAATGACATTTTCTCCAAGTTAAGTCAAAATGATCTCTTCCCAGCCACACACCCTTCCTCACACAACCCATGGACATAGACAATAGGATGGTGAAATCCTGGAGGGGGGGAAGCGGGGGAGAGCTAGAAGAAGTCAATGTGGGGGAAAAGGGGGACATGTAATACTTTCAACAATAAAGATTTAAAAAAAAAGTCAAAATGAATGCTGGACAAGGTCTCTTTTCTCAGGGATCCAGGTAGAAAAGAATTTTCTCAGGACCAGCTCATGGCTTCTGAAGGCTTTACTGGAGGTTAGGATCTATTTCATAGTTGGTTTAAAAGTAGGACATTTATTTCAAGTTCTTTCTTTCAGCTGCTCCTAAAACCATCTGGAAAGTCTTACACTGTCACTCGAACTCCATTCCCTCCATGCCTCCCACGCCTAGGCAGACCCCAGGCCTTGTCAATTCTTCCTATCTACAGCTTCTACTCGTATGTCATCCCCTCTGCATCCCGGCCGCCTCCAACATGGCAACCTTGATGGCTGCAGCGGCTACTGGCTTGCCCTCCTGCCTCGATGGCTCCCTTTGCTGGTCTTGCCAACACCATGAAAATATCTTGATCCAAAGCCACCCTCCAACCCCAAATCTTCTCATTTGGTGATGGGATCAGCAAGCCGGAAACCCTGCCAGTACTATGTTTGGAGATAAAATTTTACCACTTCACCTGAACCATGATTATTTTTATCACTTCTGATTTCTTTCACAGGATTCGGAGTGCCATTTTAAACTTACTGCATGAACATGCCACACTTTATTTGGCCATTCGTCTCTTGATAGATACCTAGGTTGTTTCTATTACTGCTATCATTATCATTTAATCATTTGGGTTGTGACTCTTATTGTTTTGTTTATGCTGCTTTATAGAATAGAATTTTAAATCATTTCCTTCATGATTTGTGCTTTTCATGTCTTGTTGAATAAATGTTTCTTCACTTGAAGGTCATAAAATAGTCTCCTCTATTTCCTTTGAATAGTTTTAAGGTTTTTATTTTCACATGTATGGCTTCAATAATGTGCAATGTAGTTTTTAAAATGATGTAAGTTAGGACTATTCCCTCCCCTTCCCCCCCTCCAAATACGGATGGACCATTTGGCCAGCATTATGTCTGGAGTACTTAATTCTTTCACTACCGAGTTTTAACGCCTCCCTCGCCATATGTCACTCAGGATTTAGACAGGTTTTCTTTATGGCTCATCTTCGTTCATCGGTCAATTTTTTTTTAAAATCATATCCTTCACAGTCTATTTTAACTTCCATATTTTTACAGAAGTCGAAGTCTTGATTTATACTACAGATCTATGCTAAGGAGACCTCTTTGCTCTTTCATGTGAATTTTAAGTTTCATTTTTAAACTGCCTGTTAAGATTATGATTCCAATTTCATTGACTTTATTGATGTATTTGAAGAGAAAAGAGATCTTTGTCCCACTGCATGCTCCCATTTACACACACAGTTTATTTTTTTATTTATTTTGGTCATCATTTACGGTTCCAGTAAAGTTTAAAGCTTTCTTCATAAAACTTGTGATGATTTTTTTATTAGGAAATATATTCCTAACTCTAAGCATTTTATAGATGTCAGTGCTGTTGTAAATGGTAGCTTGAATCTGTCTACGGATCTAGCTATCTGCACACATGCATACATGTACAGATATATATTTGTACTATCATATTTTGGGGCTGATAAAAGTAATTGAGTTTTATAAATGGATATTCTATTTAGAAGTCCTCATAGACTGTTTTATTAGGTCTAAGAATTGGTTGATTTTTATTACTGTTACTATGTAGTCTGTTACAGAGGAGAAGAATGATAGTTTCTTTTCAATTCTCATATTTTTTGTTTATATTTCTTGTCCACCCAGTTGCCAAGACTCATGGCACTGCATCAATAAAATGTGAGGTGCGGAGCGCTTACCTGCCTAGTTTCTCAGTTCCGTTTTACTTCTTGCCCCTGGCAACATGTTTTTCTGATCTCATCTATGCATTTGAAAGGATGCTAGTTACATCAGTTATGGTTGATCTAGAACTTCCCAATAGATGTTAGTATTGGAAATATTTGTAGGTTAGTCCACCAAATTGTACGTACTATGTTTAATATAAACCTGACAGGTAGAAATCATT